CTATCCATCTAAATATGACCTAAGACCATATTGGTTTTATTAGCTTCCATATCACACTATTGATTCACATTAAGTTTGTATTTCACTAAGATTATCAGGTGTTTTTCAGATGTCTAACCAAACATTTTTTAGCTTGTGCTTATAAAATTGGCTTTTTGAACCTAAGTATAAAACTTTATATTTATCTCTGATAAATTTTATCTTATTTGATTTGTCATAAACCAATCAATATCTTTGTGAATTCTGACTGTCATCCAGTATGTTAGCTATCCCAGTTGTTTGCCATCTCTAAATTTGATAAGCACATCATCCAATAGGCATAGTTCAGTTTGAATGATTAACAAAAATGTTCAAAAGCACAGGATCAAGCACAGACCCTAAGAGCACTCAACTAGATACTTCTGTCCAAGTTAACTTTAAACATTAGATGGTTACTTTTTTGGTCCAGTCATTCCATCTAATTGTGCTATTATCTGGATGTGTAATTCTGAAATGTTCAGGCTAAATGTGCTAAATATGAATTATGGCACAATAGTTTAAGGAAAAGTTCCCAATCTGTGTGCCTAAAATTTAGGTTAATTATATCTATACTATTTCCTTGATCTACCTTCTAGTAACCTTGTCAAAAAATAAGTAAGTTCAGTTTGGCTTTACCTATTTTTGGCAGAGAAAGCAGAAGCAAAATTAGTTGAGCGTTTCCTCGTTCAGTCATCAGTTATCATTGTCTCATCCACCCCAAGCAGCAGCCTAATTTTTCATCTGATCATCCTCTTAAGCCTCAATGTAGCTTTTTGCTCATTCTTGATTTAGTTCTCCTGATACTGGCATCTGCAGCAGCAGCAGCAGCAGCAGCAGTAGTAACTCACATTGATATAGGGACTTCAGTTGCACAAAATGTTTTCCTTACAAAGTGAAGTTGTTCTGGGAAAACACATGTGCTACCCAATAGATAACTCCTATGGGGACAGTTAAGAGCTGACAATTTCCAGCAGTTGAGTGGTATTTTATCTGCCTTTTAACAATGTTCTTCAAATAGCTATAAACACTTCACCTTACACCAACCATGTAGTATGGATGACATTTTTTTTTTAAATTCCATCAGCTTATGGGACTTTGGCAAAGTAATTGAATTAAGTTATGACGACCACAAAACTCTCCTATATATACTGGATGTATCGATGAAAAAGACACTAACTTTGGAACCTGAAGACCCAAGTCTGGGTCATGGATCTCTCTCTAATTTATTTTGTAACCTTAAACAATTAGCCTATGTGCCTTGTTTTCTCAATCTGTAAAAAAATATATATATAATAATAATTCTTGACTTATTTACCTCATAGGGGTTTTTGAGATAATAAAACGTAATGATATAGTTTTTAAAATACTTTTTAAAGCAAAATATGCTTTTCAAATTAAAGGTGGCATTATGGCTATGTTCCAATTAGTGCAAATAATGAGTTCCCTGAAATGGTTGCATTAGTCAGATTGGTGTTGCATATTTCCATTAGAACCAATTACCATATTTACTACTTATAACTTCAACAGTATGAAATAGATACATGGGAACACTCCAAGGGATTCATTATTTGCCCTAATCAGAACCTGGCTGTATTCAATCAATCAATAAACAAGCCCTACTATAAGACAGGCACTGGACTAGGGGCTGGGGAATCGAAATACAAGAGGGACTGCTCTCAGGGAGTTTGTATTGAAACAGCAAGAAATATGCACATATACATAGGCACAAACAGATATAAGGCAAACTTGGGACAGGAGGCACAAAATCAGTGTGATGAACTGTCAGTCAAGTATAAAGGAGCAGTGTGTAATAATTCTGAAAGGGAAGTCTGAGTCCAGATTGTGAAGAGTTTAAAACACCAAGCAGAGGGGTTCAGATTTAATACCAGCGACGATAGGGAGCTACTGGAGTGTGCTGAGTAGTAGGGTGACTTAGTCAGGACAATCACTCTGGTGATTGGGAGTCAAACCAATCTTGTCATTCCATTCTGATTAACATATAATTGTTTTCTTTATGTACACCCGCCCAGCCCTCCACCCCCACCAGGGCAAAGACTAAGGAATATCAAATAGAGTCAAAATACCTGGATCACAGAATAACTGAGGATTGGGGATCATGGTAGTCCTTTCAGTCAGTCTATCCAGATATTCATTAGCCAATAGAAGAGGAAGACAGACAAAAGACTGATCTTGTCAATCCATTTATTTTATAGCAAGTAGATAGTACCTAAAGTTATGATTATTCTTTGATAGAGGAGCTTAGTACCATAAAAAACAAATTTTCCCAATTCTACTCAATCCAATCTCCTCCTCCTACTCAATTCTGAGCGTTTTCCAAGATATGGATAAACTATACACATAAACAGATGAGACAAAAGTGGGCTTCTTTGCTGGTGTAGGAACTGGATGAACAGTATATCCCCCATTAGCCAGCAATCTAGCCCATGCCGGAGCATCAGTAGTTTTCCTGGCGGTCACCTTCTTCATTTAGTTGACATGTGTAGATAAAGCCTTAGTATAAATGCTTCATCTTCGAGTACACTGTTCCTTCCTCCAGAATACTGAAACACCAGGAACTCTTCCCCTTGACCTCACTTGGGGTTGGGGCCAGGACTTATCAGAGGCCATAGTGGTAAAGCTTTTAAGGAGTGGCCTGTGTCCCTGGCAAAATGGCCTGGTCACACATGGACTTTCTCCTGACTCTTCTCTTGTGGCATTTCTTTTTTTTGTTTGTTTGTTTGTTTTTGCTAGGCAGTGGGGTTAAGTGACTTGCCCAGGGTCACGCAGCTAGTAAGTGTTATGTGTCTGAGGCCGGATTTGAACTCAGGTCCTCCTAATCCAGGGCCGGTACTCTATCCACTGCGCCACCTAGATGCCCCCTCTTGCGGCATTTCTGCCATGAGAAACCTCTGCCCTGGGGCCTTCTTCTCCTAATTGGTGACTTCCTACCCAGAACCACATTAAAGGAAGGATCCCATCCGTGCTTCACTTCACTCCTACCTGGACTCATTATCCAGACTCCTCCTTACCTGCTGCATTATTCTTCCTCTCCCCCATTTCTAACTCCTCTTTGTATATAGTCTGTCTTTATCAGGATCTAAGTTCCTACCCTGGCATGATGACATTATTGTCCCTGCTGCTGGGGAGGCTGAATTTGGTGGATTTTTTGAGTCTACGAGTACTGAGTATGGCTAATGCCACTTGGGTCCACACTAAGTACAGCACCAATATGGTGTTCCTCTTGGAACAGAGGGCTGCCAGGCTGCCTAAGGAAGGGTAAACTGGCCCAGATTATAAAAATGAAGCAGGTTAAAGTGTACATGCCAATTGGTATTGCTACTACTCTTGCAGCCTGGGCAAAATAAGGAGTCATAGGAAAGAAAGATAGAAAGAGAGAGACAGAGAGGAAGGAAGGAAGGAAAGAAGGAAGGAAGGAAGGAAGGAAGGAAGGAAGGAAGGAAGGAAGGAAGGAAGGAAGGAAGGAAGGAAGGAAGGAAGGAAGGAAGGGAAGAAGGAAGGAAGGAAGGGCAGAAGGAAGGAAGGGAGGAAGGGAGGAAAAGAGAGAAGAAAGAAAGATAAGGAGAGGCGAGGCGAGGTGGACAAAAAAAAAGAACATAAGTTTTGAGAGGAAGAATTTCTTGTTTGCTTTCATTTATATCCACCAATGCTTAGTAGAATATATGGAATATAGTAAGCATTTCATAAACGCTCTACCTATCTATCTATTTATCTATCAGAGTCGAGTCATTTGGAGTAAGAGTCTAAAAGCAGAGTTTTGCAAGGCTGGAGTTGGTTATTTTCCACATGGCAAGAAGGTGGGAGGAAAGCAGCATTTCCAAGGTCAAGAAATATGGATCAGGAATGCAGGATGCAAAGGAAAACACTGGCAAGCCTGGTCTAAGGTGAGGAAAGAGTGCAAAGAGGTAAGCATGAAAGTAGGTCAGACTTCATACAAAGAATACATTTGCCAATATGACTTCAAATCTCTGTTTTGTTGTTGTAATGATACACAGAGGCCATCTAGTCCAACCTATCCTTGAAACAGTATTTCCTTCAAAACAAACCAACAATATACCAGCCTTTGTGTAAAGATGTTCAATGATGGCAAACCCATTAACTCCAGGGACAGACTATTCTACTTTGGGATAGTTCTTGCTGTTAACAAAGATTTCCTCAAATCTAAATTGCTTCTACCCTTTTGAGCTCCCATGCTGTTTAGTTCCAGTAATCTAAAGCTTTCTCTAAAATTTCTCTCTAGTTTTGCTAAGAAAAATCCATATTGGCACTTGGTTTAGAACTAAAATGATGGCTCTTCAAAATTTTGATTTCTGCTTCTGTGATTTTTCTGAACAAATTGAAAGTGTTCAATGAGATTTTGAAAGGACTATTGTTTGAGAGCATTTAGTAATGATGGAAGAATGTTTCATTTAATCCCTAAATGAGCTTAGAGTTATAAATTATAATTAATACTACTTGGAGCTTGGCCAGCCTAAAAGGCCACAATTTTAGGGTATGAAGAAATAATTAAGAGATTTAATTGCAAAAGGGGGAAAAAAGGATAGATTCTGTCTGAAAGAAGGAACTAATTTTCTTCTTATTTTTGGACGGTGATTGTGTTTATTTTGTGGGTTTAGTCAGAATACCACAACCACATTGTGGAATCTTTTTGGAGGTATTAAAAGATTTTTCAGTATAAAGAAATGTATTCATTTCTGGTAGGTTTTTTCTTTTCTTAAAAGGAATGTCATTAGAAATATAAAATTAACAATCCATCCATCACCAAGATATCTCCTGTAAATTGCAGAATAAGAACAGGTGCCCTTTCCCATCCTGATGTCCCTTTTGTCTGAGAGAAATAACTACATGACCCCATTTTACTTACACTTCAGTTGAACTTGATAATGAAATCTACACACTAGAATGATCAATTGTAGTTGTGTTTGGATTTTTTTTTTTGGCCTCATTCAACACGAAAAGCTTACTTTCAGATGCTGACTGTGTAAAACCATGAAGAAACGTTGAAACTAATCTGAGTACTTCTTTAAGCATGTCCTCCTGTTCTGATTCTGCAATTTAAAAAAAAAACAACAATAACAACAAAAAGTCAAGATGATTCTGAACCCAAATGCTGGGTAGGGTATTTCCTCTCTGGTTATTTCACACTTAATCTTTGTCAATAGTCATTGAAAGGTTAGTTATCATTAGCTAGTCAGAACCAGCTACTACAATTAGTAGATTTAGTCAGTCGAGAAGCACCCATTATATGCCCAACACTGTGTCTTATAAGCACTGAGGACACAAAAAAAGCTCTTGAGGAACTCAGTCTGATAGGGGGAGACAACATGAAAACAACTATATGAAAACAAGCTATGTTGTTCAGTTGTGTCCAACTCTTTGTGACCCCATTTGGGGTTTTCTTGGCAAAAGATACTGGAGTGGTTTGCCATTTTGTTCTCTTTTTACAGAGGAGGAAATTGAGGCAAACAGGGTTGAGTGACTTACCCAGAGTCGCACAGTTAGTGTCTGAGGCCATATTTGAACTCAGGAAGATGATGAGTCTTCCTGATTCCAAGCCCATTGCTCTATCCACTGTACGACCTAGCTGCTCACAAACTATAGACAGGATAAATTAGAATTAACCGAGGGGAAACATTGGATCAAGAAAGACTTCACGAAGAAGGTGAGATTTCAGCTGGGACTTGAAGGAAGCAGAGAAGCCAGAAGGTGGAGATGAGGACAGAGACAGTGAAAATGCCTGACGCCGAGAGATGCAGCCCCTTGTTCTAGAAGACTGGAAAGGCTAGGCAGTGCAGGTTATGAAGGGGAATGTAACAAGCGTTTATTAAACACTTACTATGTGTCAGGCACTATGCCAACTGATTCACAAATATTATCAACAACAGCCCTGTGAGGCAAATGCTGTTATTCTCCCCATTTTATATTTGAAGAAACTGAGGTAGACAGAATTAAGTGAAAGGTTTTGAATGCCACACGGATTTTATATTTGATCCCAGAGGTGATACGGAGCCAGTAGACTTTATTGACTGGGAGAGGATGACATGATCAGACCTGCACTTTAGGAAGACCAGTTTGACAGCCCAGTGGAAGATGGATTGGACAAGGGAGAGATTTATGGTATGGAGAGTGAGACTATTTCAGTAGTGCAGGCATGATGTGATGGGGGCTAGCACTCGGTGGATGACAATGTCAGAGAAGAGAAGATGGCTGGAAGGTACTTTAGAGGTCATCGAATCCAACCCCCTCCTTTTTCTAGAGATGAGAAAACTGAGGCCCAGAGAGGTTAAGGGATTTGCTCCAGGTCACACAGGTATGTCAGAAGCAGGATCTGTGCACAAACCCTCTGACTCCAAAGCCAGGGATTTTTTCCTACTATTTTTTCACCCTATTAGGGCCTCTTTTGTCAGGATTAAGCAAAAGCATGGGAACACAGACAAAAGAGGCCCTAATAGGCTGACTCAGAATTCTCAGTTTAAGAACTATGGCTGGAAACAAAGTCCTAGTACCTAGGAATTAACTTTTTTTTTCTGTTATAGGTGTGTATGTCATTGATGTAGCCCCTTCATTATGTTAGAGATTAACTTGTTTTATTAAAGGCACAGGGAGCCTGCACAGAGGTGTTGAGGAGAGTACTTTATAAAGCTTAACATGCTCCATAAAGGAATTATCATCACTCTTTCCTTATCAAATTAAAAATATGTTTAATAATAAGATAGGAATAGGAAAGAAACTGTAATTTCATAACTATATGGAACTCTAGGGCAAGAAAACTCCTTTCATTTTAACACTTTCTCTGTAACTTATTTTTCTAGAGTTTCCTGAAGCACTGACAAGTTAAATAATTTGCCCAGAGTCACACAGCTAATATGTATCAGGGGCAGGTCTTAGATGCAGGTCTTCACAGATTTGAAGTCAACTCTCTTAGCACAGTGGGTAGAGCATCAGCCCTGGACTCAGGAGAACCTGAGTTCAAATCTAGCCTCAGACCCTTATTAGCTATGTGACCCTGGACAAGTCACTTAACCCTGTTTGCCTCAGTTTCCTCATCTGTAAAAATTAGCTGGAGAAGGAAATGTCAAACCACTCTATCATCTTTGCCAAGAAAACCCCATCACACACCACTGAATAAGAACAGCAGTATCCACTATATATATATATATATATATATATATATGTATATATATATATATATATATATATATATATATATATATATATATATCCACTATATATCTCTGTCTCTACAAAGAAGATAAAATTGAATCAGATAATTCTTTGTTATTCATCTGTCGTAAAAATAAAAAATAACTACTTGCCCCGGTTATAAAACTTCAAATAAGTCATGTGACAGTTATATAGTTATCCCTTCTACATCACAACTTTTTCTATCATGGTTTCGATATATCATGGGTCAAAAAAGAAATTTGATTAGCACTGGCCACTATGGTCTTAGGTCAATGTCATAGTTTCCTGAGTACAGAAGGGCCAGGGGACAAGGAGCTCTACCTGGTTGCTTAGGCTTGATGGGTAGACCACCATGGGCAACACTAAGGCAGGGAAGCTATATTTAATTGAACCAAGACCATCATTGTTAAATATCTTTTCCATGATCTTAATGTTCTTCCCCTCCCATGACTAATAAACCACCTTGTTTTATTACCTGTCAAAAAAAAAAAACCAGAGAGAGATCACAGGTCGGCATAAGAAATTAAATGGGAATTTTGTGAAAGGACAGCAGATGACACAGAAAAAATTTAGAAACTCAGAAATGAATAAAGTATGTGTATGGTATTGTATAATATCAACGTGTTTTATCTTTTAATACTATGATAATTCAGACTTCTTCTCTGGCACAAAGAGAAGGCCAAAAGTTTTTCCATAGATTTTCCAGATCTCAGGATGCCATTACCCGACCCCATGATGTAGAAGGTATAACTGTACTTCCTTCTTTCATTAAATCAGTGTTATTTGGGGTCCATTCTTTTTTTTTTTTTTTTGGTCCTCTCTCTTTTCCATCTGATAGAAAACAACCATAGAAAAAGAGGATGAGAAGACACAGGAAGAGTCATACTTGTAGGCCCTGGGCCTTTTCAGGTAGTGGAGACCCCAGATTGAGAGGGGACTCTGGCTCAGCAGATCTCTCCGGGTCCTACTTAACAGTTTCCAACACTACCACCCTCAGCGCAATTTCTCTCTAAGCACTGTTATGTTGAAGTCTGTAGGTAAAGGGGTGAATGATTAATAAGGACTTGCTAGCAACACCAATCTAAGCTAAAATGGTAAATGCTTTTAAAGCTAGTTGACATGTGAAAATGTGTAAATATCCCTGAGTGCCCAATAGTGGAGTAGATCCTGCTGAAATCTATGAAGAAACTGGAAAACCACTTCAAATAAATACAGGGAGATGGGGACAAGCTATAGCCAGCACTGTCCAAAGCTAAAAGCAAAACAAAACAAAACCCTTACTGTGGAAAAAAAATGTTGTGCCTCAAAGAACTACAATGAATTTATCCTTTAACAAACATTATGTGCCTACTGCTAGGTACAATTAAAAATATAAAGTTTGTATATGACACTGAACCTGCCCTCATGGAGTTTATAATCAAGTAGGAGGAAAAGATGCCCAATACTGATTACTATGGTATACAATATTTCATTATAGAAAGGTATAAAAACAAAGCACTGAGAATTCTGGTGGGGAAACACCAATACTGACTGGAGGAACCAAATCATGGAAAGCTTTTCTAGGTAGGCCTTCCAGGTCCACGAAACAGTTTCTTTTAGCCAACTTTATACAGAGCAGGAATACTACTCCTTACCTGAGTACACAAAGGACAAAAGAAATATATGCATGCACTCCTGAAAGTAATTACTTTAAGAAGATTACTTTAGAGATGTCAGCTCAGAGAAGTCATTAGAAATGTATGCAAATATTTTTAAAAGGCATTTTATGTGATCTCATTCATTCAATTATGCTTTCTCTTAATTTTTTATTTCCATTACAAGAGTCTTTATTTATATGCTATAAGTTTTGCATTTTCTATCCCTAACTGAAAATCTGTAGTATTATGCCCTTACACAATGCACAATTGACATATAGCTTACTTACTGAGCAGGAGTGAAAGGCAAACCATTTCCATGAAAATAAACAAGAATTACAATGCCATAGCTTGTGTTATTTTTTTGTCTTTAAAGCATTTTGCAAATATTAACCTATTAATCCATAGAAAGTCACTTTAAAAATGAGGAAAGAGAAGCTGAAAGTGGGTTAAATTGTTTTCCCCACAAAGGGAGTCAGTGTCTAAATCTGGATTGGACCTTGGACCTCTTTAATATGAACAGTTCAGAGATTCAACTTGTGTAAACATCTACAAGGTCAAATACTCATCAGTAGCTTTTATAACAATAACAAACCCACCCTCAGGAAGTTTTTTCTGCCACAGTTCTAGGTACTGAGCACTAATAATTAACAATTTTAAAAGACTGGGGGTCAGAGAATGTTTGGTTGTCCTTGAGTTTCAGGCTAGCTTAACTAGAGACTAGTTAGGAGTTCTAGCAAGTAAAGAGTGGGCTATGAATATGGAAATCAGACTGGAAATTCTCCCATGAGAAATCTGCTCTGTCCCAATTCCAGACAGGTCTGAAAGACTGAGAGGACCATCTGTACTGTGCAATCCAGATTCTTGTGCTGCCTGCAAATAGGTACAAAAAAATAAAATAAAACCTAAGCAATCACCTCAAAAAACTCACAAAGCTTGGCAAAACGTCTGGAAGGCCGTACTAGCTTGAGCTATAAGTAGCAACTGGGGCTGTACCTTTCAATTAAGATTTTGGGACATTTGTTTGTCTTCCCCATCGCTTAGCAGCAAATGCTCTCTAAATGAGCACCTTTTGCAGTAAGTCAATGGCCATACTAGAAAATAAAAGATAACCCATGCAAAAGAACTTGTGTGTCCAAAGCTTAATTTATTGGAATGAAACGTTAGTGGGCAGGCAGCTGCCCCTTGGGCTTAGATAGGCAAAAACATGGCTGGTAGAGAGTCTGAGACAGCTTCCTGCTTGTGGCATGTTCCTCCAGGCCTGGAGGGAATCTTTGGCTTTGGGCCTGCTCATGATCCCTACAAGTACTCATGATGGGAATGCTGATCCTCAAAGATCCCAAAGATGGGGCTTTGACCTTTCCTTACATACAAAGACCTTTCCTCCTCACGTGAATTATATGGTTCCTATTAATTTTCCCTTCTTCCAGCATCTGTACCATGTGGTTCATGGGGACAGAAGCTAATACTAAATTTTAAGTTTAATAGCAGACCATGATCCCAGATCTGTAAAAAGATATTATTTTCTGCCTTCAGTCTCTGGATGTAAGGGAAGTTTGTTTTGTTTTCAGATTGGTGCTTTACCTATGAGCCCATAGCTTTTGCCAACAACAGGAACAGAGAAAAAATAAGGCAGTCAGGAATTCAAGATGAAGAAGATGAAGAAGAAACCATCCACTGGGGCATTATTTTAAACAAGGACCAGAGTATAAAGAAATGTGTATGTATGGATGGATATATAGATGTGTGTGTTTCCCTGTTCTCATACAATCCCTTTTCTGATGAAAATCTTACAAACAGTATACAGTGCCTGGCACACAGCATTTAAATGCATATTGTCGATTCATTGATTGATACAAGATATTCATTAGTACAATACATAGCAGAACATCTATGTGCTTTTTAGCAACTGCTAGTAAAACATGTTTGTTGTTCAGTTCTTCAGTAGAGTCTGACTCTTCATGACCCTATGGACTGTAGCACACCAGGCCCTTCACTATGCTCCTGAAGTATTCTCTATCATTCTTCACTGTCTCTTGGAATCTGTCCAAGTTCATGTTTGATGTTTCCATGATATTATCTATCCATCTCATCCTCTGTCATCCCCTTTTCCTTTTGCCTTCAATATTTCCCAACATCAGGCTCCTTTCCAATAAGTCCCTTCTTCTCATTATGTGGCCAAAGTATTTGAGCTTCAGATTCAGTAGTTGACCTTCCAGTGAATAGTCTGAATTAGTTTCTTTTAAGTATTGTCTGATTTGATTTCCTTGATGTCCAAGGGACTGTCAAAACCACAATTCGAAAGTCCAACTTTCACAGTCATACATTGCTACCAGAAAAACCATGGCTTTGACTATATGGACCTTTATTGGTAAAGTGGTATCTTTGCTTTTTAGTGTGCTGTCCAGATTTGCCATAACTTTCTTTCCAAGGAGCAAGTGTCTTTTAATTTCGTGGCTGTAGTCACAGACCTTTAAGCCTAAGAACATAAAATCTGATACCGCTTCCATTTCTTCTCCCTCTGTTTGCCAGGAAGTGATGGGACCAGTTACCAAGATCTTAGTTTTTTTTTTTGATGTTAAGCTTCAAGCCAGTGTTTACATTCTCCTCTTTCACCCTCATCAAGAGGCTTCTTAATTCTTCTTCACTTTCTGCCAGAGACTAGTTTGACAGAAAGCAAAGAAAGATTTCTTAAACAAACCAAAGCACAGAAGTTTTTGGTTTTGTGCTTCTTTTTTTGCATGCAGTAATGGGGAGGTGGTGAAGGATCACTGGCAAATACAGAGAAAAAAAAAAAGAAACGACTTAACTAGGGTAAAATTTCTGGCAGAGAGATTAGATAGGTAGATGGATGGTAGATAGATAAATAGGTAGACAGGTAGATAGATAGGTAGATAGATAGATAGAAAGAAAGAAAGATAGATCGATCCTCCCAATCCACTTGATGAAATTAAAGAATGTAAGGGGCAAAAACAGAGACAATGTGGTGTCAGGTGTAAGGTTTTGTCCCTTTCTGCCATTGTTTTTCTTTAGAAAAAAAGATGTATATTTTTCAGAAAAAAAGAAAAAGCCCAATCAAAAATGAACTCTGGGGTACCTGGATGCCCTTTGGTGGTACATGTGTCACCCAAAAAAACAGGGGAAGCAGCTGTATGAATGGCTGAAGAATATGGACATGTCTCTGGGTCATAGTGCCCCCAGACCAGACATCAAAGCCTAAGCTCCCTCCCAGGGTCATTGGTGACAACTATGAATGGCTGGTCTGTGTAAACTATTAGCCCTGGTCCTGCCTTGATGTCTTATCTGTCCTGTGACCACCATCAGAACAAGAGCTACATATCCTCAGTGCTCTATTTAGAAGCAAGTTCTTTAACAGCTGTAGCAAAAAGCTTTTCCTCAAAGTCATTGGACCTGTCCAGGACGTGATACCCATACCAAACATTAAATCTGTTGAGGGGAGGTCCAGGGCCATTACAGAGAGGCTTTTCTTCTTATTCTGGTTCTTCTTGGCCTTATTCTTTTCAATGAAGTTAGCCACGGGGCCACTCTTGCTCTCCTGCTCTAAGAGCATCTGATCTAAGTCCTCATCGTTTATGTTTACAGGGTGTAAGGAGTAAGTGACACAAACAATGAGATGTAAAGTTGCATGTTTCAGACTTTGAAGTGGCCCATTTACACATTGCAAAAGGTGAGCTGCCTCCTTGATTAGCTAGTACTGTTTTAAGAGCATGTAAAGAAATGCTTCCTTTAGGAGACATCAAGTTCCTTAATCAACTTGAGAGAATTATAAGGCCTTGGCTACTGGATAAAGGCAGTAGGAAACATTTAGAGCAGAGATTCTTAACCTGTTGTGTGTAATAGACCCCATGGGAAGCCTATGGACTACTCAGAATAATGTTTTTAAAAGCATAAAGTAAAATACATAGAATTACAAAGGACATCAAAGGATATTGAAAATAAAGATACAATTTTTGTTTCCATCCAACTTCACAGATCCCCTGAAATCTATCTACTTACCCCTTAGGAATCTTTGGACTCTCAGATTAAGAATCCCTGATGTAGTGATTGACTGAGAAGATCAGCCATGCCCCTTGGGTCTGTATAAAAGCAAGCCAATCAGCTCTGGGGTGGGGGTGGGGTCAAATCTGGCAGTCAAGAAGAAAGTTGAAAGAAGAATTCAGCTCCCCCAATTTTTACTTTCCCCTCTTTGAGAATTCCCTGTGGAGGTAAGGGAAGGAGAAAGGAAAGAGTGAGAGAGAGAGAGAGAGAGAGAGAGAGAGAGAGAGAGAGAGAGAGAGAGAGAGAGAGACAGAGACAGAGAGAGAGAGAGACAAAGAGAGAGAGAATTCCTTTCTCTACCTTTTTCCTTGGCAATGGCTTCTTTCGACAGTCACATAGGTTTGCCTCTGCTGTAGACAAATGAAGAGACTGAGTTTAAAAGAAATGAGGCTAAAAACGCTAGAGAGTCTCACTGTGAGTCCAGTGAGTTGGCAAGAGGAGGTGAGAGCCTGGCAGCCAGAGATAAGATACCAGTCTGGGTGTAGCAAGCCGCAGAATCAAGATTCCTTCTGGTCCTAGGGTGTTGCCTCCAGGTGTTTCTCCAAGTGCATAGCAGTAGCTGAACCGTGTTGCCTGACCTTAAAGCTGGAATGAGAAGTAACTATAACCAGTCAGTGAAGCAACATCCAACAGAGAAGATCAAAATAAGCAGGAGCTGCTCAAGAAGATCAGTGACCCTGCAACTCTGCAGCATCAAAGGTGTGAGCTGTTCTTTCTGCTGCAAGGTGACATTACCAAAAGTGGAGTATCTCACCCCCGTGTTTCACTTTCCAACAGGAAAATGCAAAAAAGGTGAAGAGCAAACTCAGGGGCTAAGTCCTTCCTCCGTGACCATCAGAGCTCATACCCCTCAAAGCTGGTTGGCTTGGGTTTTGGTTTATTTGCTTTTTTTTACTGAAGACCCATGGGACGTGGCTGATCGTCTGAAGCCAACACAAGACATTTCCTGTCATGTCAACTGCCTTCATCCAGTGGCCTCTCAAGTTGATTAAGGAACTCCTTCACACCTCCTAAAGGAGTAAAACAAACAAACAAAAGTATAGATGGTACATTACAAAAAATGCCACTTCAAGGTCTGCAAGAGTTGCAAGTTATTGTCACTGTTACTTGCTACTCCTATCTAGGAAATTATAAGAAGTAGGTTGCTGTACTCAGCTAATCATGGTTCCCTGATCAACCAATCCTCTTGCTGCATATGTATAACCTGGTTTGAGTTTCACCTCTAATACACACCAATCACAAAGTCTGAGCAAATAACTTAATCACTAAGTTCCCTAGGCTCTAAGATTATAAATTTCAGAACAGTTGCTGCACTGGAATTCTCATCAGGAATTCCCTACCTCTCATTAAATCATTAGTTCAGTGCAAAGATTAATAGATAGACAGATAGATAGTTAGCTATATAGACAGACAAATAGATGGATGTCAATAAAGATGGATAATCAAATATTTCCTTTTTATTTCTAAAAATTAGGATAATACAAGTATATATTTTAAATTATACTCTGATTCTGTGGCCAATCATTTTACTAAATGCAAATCACAGAAGCCAAAGGACTGATTAGGAGTTACTAGTCTCCAATAAGTCAGTTAACAAGCATTTATTAAGCACCTACTATATGCCAGGAACTATTCACAAGTGCTGGGGATACAAAGAAAGGAAAAAGACAGCCTTTGCCCTTGAGGAGCTCACAATCTAATGTAGCAGACAACAAGCAAATATGTGCAAAGTCACCCTATACAGAATAAATTGTTGTTCACCCTTCATTCTCGATGGGGACCAATGATATCAGGATTGTGATGTCTTGACTTGAAAGTAAATTGGATTTAAAGGAGGCAGGGCTATGCAAAGTCACCAGCCTCACTTTGTCCTCCAGGGACATCTGAGTCCAGTGGCAAGACACAGGTCAGGATGACTGCAGATGATCCCAGATGCAGTGGGAGACTTTGCCCTTTTCAAGCTAAGGTCTTTCTCAGGTCTCAGTTTGTCTGAGGTAACACTCATTCAGTGATTAAAGGCTAGGTAAGAATTGACGCAAAGATGACCTAATTTGCCTTCTCAAAAGAGTAAGTAAGAAACAATTAACAGAGAGAAGGCACTAGAATTAAGAGGGGTTAGAAAAGGCTTCCTGTAGAAGGTGGGATTTTAGTTGCTACTAGAAGGAAGTCAGGGAAGCCAAGAGGCAGAGATGAAGAGAGAGAGCGTCCCAAGCAAGACAGGACAGTCAGAAAAAATGTTCAGAGCCAAGAGATGGTGAGGAATAGCAAGGCCAGTGTCACTGGATCAAAAAGTAAGTAAAGTATGAGAAGACTGGAAAGGGGAGCGTGGGGGTGGGGAAAAGCCTTTTATGGAGGGCTTTGAATGCCAGAGGATTTTGTATTTGATTCTGGAGGTCATAGGGAGCCCCTAGAATTTATGGATTGGGGAGGGAGAGGGCAGGGTGATGTGGTCAGACCCACAATTAGGAAAATTCATTTTGGTGGCTAAATAGATATGGAACTGGAGTGGGGTGAGACTGTGACAGTCACACCAACCAGCAGACTGTTGCAATAGTCAGGCCTGAGCTGATGAGGGTCCATACCAGAGCAGTGGCAGCATGAGAGGAGAGAAGGGAGTATATTTGAGATGCTGTGAGGGTAAAATGAGCAAGCCTTGGCAACAGATTAGATGGGGTTGGGGTAGGGGGATAGTGAGAGAGAGTGAGGAGTCGAGGGTGACTCCTAGGTTGTGAGCCTGACTGATTATGAAAATGGTGCTGTCCTCAACAATAATAGAGAAGTTTAAAAGGGTGGAAAGGGTTTAGGGGGAAAGATAAATGAGTTCACTTTTGGACATGTTGAGTTTAAAATATCTACTTTAATTTTTAATATTTAGAAGCTTCCAAGTTTGATTTACATAGCATTCTACTGTCAGCCGGGAATATTTGAGTCAATGATAAATAAATGTTATTGAAGAAATTAATTCATATCCAAGAAAAAGTATAAATATTGTCAGATTAGATACTCACACAATTCATGATTTCTAGTATTTTTGGCAAGTTGATCCTTCCCCCACGGTCTCAGGCATATGCCCCCCTATACTCTTCCCTCTGGTTTTGGCTACTGTTTGGTATCCTAACTCTTTTCTTACCCAGTATAGCTTCTTTTCAGAAAACATACTATCAGTCTATCAGGATTATAGATCTAGGGTTCAAAGAAGCTTCAGAGGACATATAGTCTAACCCCTCATTTTACAGTTGTGGAAGCTAAGGTCTAGATTCACAGGGGTGGGGAACCTGTGGCCTTTGACTGTTTGGGCCACACTTGAGGACCTAGAGGGCCACATGTGGCCTCAACACCACAAGTTCCCCACCCCTGGTAGAATGACATGCTCCTGTCAAGGTCACCTCTCCTACACTTGGAACTGGATGGTTAGTGATGGGTTTTCCCTATATCCTCAAATTTGCCCAGTTTGGGTGGGGATTCATCATATAGTCATAGATGCCCCCAAATAATAATCCTTTAGCAAGGGGTCAGGACACAGAAAGGGCCAATGTGAATGCCCAGCTCCACAGGAAGTGTTTCTTTCCAATAGATCAGAGAGTGGTCCTTATTACCTCATTACATGATTTTGAATGCAAGCCTTAGTCTCTCTAGGGCTAACAATCAAGAGTCATTTCGAATCAATTACACAAGGCTTATTTTAATTCTTTATGTATGTGGTATCTTGGACCTATGATGGATCAACAAAATGTTCAACAGTCTAGGAAAAGACTATTATTTACTATGCCTCTAAACTATGAACATACTATCGGAGATCTTATGATTTAACAAAATTCTCTCTGACCACGTCAGCCAGGAACATGTTCCCAAGTGAGGGGAGCACAGTGATTTGGTTGTTAGGAGGAAGTAACTGGTTACATTAGTTCCATCCATCTTCTTTTATTTATTTATTATTTATGTATTATTAAGTTATATGTATCATATTATTACAATTTTATATATCATATTATTTATATTAATAAATTATATTGTATAATATATCATATTGTATAAGGTATATAATAAATTTATTATAAATAATATATGAATAAATTTAATTTATTTATATTTATGATACTGTTTATATATTGTTTATTTATTTACATGTTTATTATTTCCTGGGTGATTTTCATTGATCAGGGGCATGATGAAAGGAATTGCCTCACCTCAGTTACATTCAGATCTTTTGTAGTTTTGTTAATTATCTCAGGGTGATTTGCAGAAAACCAGACTAACAATCAGGAGAGTAATAGAAGTTAAAGAGACTTGTCTGCCTCTATTTTAAAGAGTTTAGACTAGGGCAGTCTGTGCGGCAACAGAGGAGTACAGAAAGTCACACTGTATCTAAGAGCTTTTCCAGCTAGCTGGGCAGGGTCTGAAATGACCAAAGGGATTAAAAAAACAAAAAACGTCCTGCAGGTATGAAATGAAAGAGTGGGAGACTAGAAGATGGCAACAGAGAAAACAGTAGTTACTATATAGCAGAAATTCTTGCAAAGAACAAAAGAGAGCAGCTCAGATGCCAGCAGAAAGCAGATCCATAGAGATGGGCACCAAGACCATGCTGGTAGAAAGGAAAGACAATTAATATTTTCAATAAAGTAAAATGTCTTTTACTGTGACCTAACATATCCTCTGGTTGCCTAGCAAAAGGAACACAGAAGTAGGAGTTCATGAGCTATCATTTTGAGTGGAGGCTGCCCCACAATATCTCTTGAAGCTGGGGTAGCTTTCAGGAAGGCTACATGTCTGTTTTGAGGGAAAGAGGGCACTACTGGAGCATTTTCTCTTTGCATCCAGCATAAAAGTTCTCAAATATAATTTGAACACAGCCATCTTCAGAATGCAAAAATATCGAAATGTAAGAAAGCTTCCTTATTAATTTGAAAAATAGCTCATTTAGGGAAGGAAGGTTTCATATCACTATTTTAAACCCTGCCACATTTCATAGTAGTTATAGCAATTATAGAATCTTATAAATGGAAGAAATTTTAGAGATCATCTAGTCTAACCATATCATATTTAAATGTGGTTGATAAATTTGGTGTTTTGTAGGTAGTACAGGAAAGTTGATAGACATAGTTTCAAACTCTGATCCTGTTAGGTTACTTGTTAGGTTAAGCTATGCAAATACTTAAATCTATCTGCATTTTATTTTATCTTCCTTCAAGATGAAATTTGGTTAGGGCAGTATTATATATAATTCATATATATATATATGAAACCAGATTGGATGGTTTAATTTAGACTTTTTTTTTATAAAAGCTACACTCTTGTATGATGTATACCAGCTCGCTCACATTTATATCCATATTTATCCTCCTTGCCCAAATCTGCTTTATTCCCAATAGACTTGTATTCTATTTTTTAAAGCAAGAATTGTACCACATACAAACTTACAGAGAAAATATAGGATTGATCAGATACATTATCTCTCATCTTTACATACCCACTAACAAAAATTGTGGGATATCTGGAATACCTGTTCGAATTCTAGGAAGTCAGAGATTTCTGGGTAAAATTTAAAGTGGAAGAAATTAACCAATTATTATAGGACCAAAAAATGATCTTTTCTAATGACATAGTGAGGTTAATGGGTCATGGGACTTCTGCTCCATCACCTTTAATTAACCCTTTGTAGTGACACAA